AAGAGTCAGGGTGGCTTCTGGGTAATACCAGATGGCTAGGCCTCAGACTGACGAAGCCTCTTGGATGAGGGGCGAAACGTTTCTTTTTAACAAAAAAAACGAAGTCCAGATGACATGATTCAATCTTTTTTGTTGTCAATCAACAAATGTTGAAATGGTGCTGTAACAGTTTTGTGAGCTCCTGGAGCTGTTGTTTTTATTGTTTTTGAAACATTGTGAGTGGCACACACGAGGCAGGAGTCACAATGTTGAGCTGCTATTTTTGAAAAATTTACAGTAAACCAATTAGCATTAATTTGTCTCAACATCCCTCCCTTTGACACATGATCCAAAGAATGTGTCAAAATAGCAAAAGAGGGGACAAAATGTTTTGGTAAGCATGGGTTACAATTTGGGCCAATCCAGATGTTTTCAGAAAAAACACAGCCGTGTTTTTTCCATTCAGCTTTTTCACTGGCAGGAACAAACCTTTGCATGTCAGAAACAGAGAATGGCACATTGGGTTGTTTTTGTGTCTGAATCAGAGTGAGAAGTTGTGTGAGAAGTGTGCAGGCTGCAGCTTTAGCAGCTTCATCAGCCAGAGCATTTCCTCTCGAGACAGAGTCAGTGTTGGAAGTGTGTGCGGCACATTTATGACAGCAATTTGTGTTGGTAAGGTGATAGAGGTCAAGAGATCAGACACCAATTTATGATTCAAAATGGGTTGTCCATCTGAGCGCAGGAACCGTCTGTGTTTCCACAGAGCTCCAAAATCATTAACAACACCAAATTCGTACCTGCTGTCAGTGTAAATATTTACTTTTTTCTCTTCAGACAAAACACAAGCACGTATGAGAGCAATCAGTTCACAGGCCTGTGCAGAACATGATGGCACGGGAGCAGCTTCAACTATGTGTGTGTGTGTGTTACAACAGCATAACCACTTCTTATCTGGCCTGTAACTGGGTCACGTGATGAAGAGCCATCGACAAACAGATCCCAATCTGGACTGTCCCGAGGGTGTTGTTACAAATCAGGCCTGGGTGTGCCTTCTTCAACTGTTGGCAGGAGTGTGGCTGGGTTTAAAACATTACAAAACAAAAAGGCAAGCCTGCTGCTACCGAGTCCAATTTAGCAGAAAAAATAGGTGACTGGTTTCAATCTGTTACCATGTTTTTGGACCAATACAGAAATCATACAGCCACCATGCTCATCCACAGCCTGAATAAAAGGTCCTGTGGGATCTGGAAATGCCAAGAGTCGGGGCTTTGCTACAGTTGTTTTTTCAGCGCTTCAAAGGCCTGCAGAGCCTCATTAGATCATGTCAATTTAGAGCTCATCAGTAGGCCTTTTTCATGACAAATGACACGTAGAGGAGTCTCCATTTCAGCATAGTTTGGCTTCTTAGTCTCAGGAAGTGGCAGTTTCACTATTGCTTTAACGCGAGTGTCTGCAATTTCCCTACCTGCTGCTGAGATTCTATGGCCCAGAAATGTCACAGTGGTTTGCACAAACTGCAGTTTAGACAATGAAGCTTTGTGTCCCTGCTCAGCCAAGTTTTGGAGCAGACAGACAGTATTTTCTCTACAAGACAGTTCTGAGGGCATTGCCAACAGAAGGCCATCCACATATTGTAACAAGGCACAATCAGAAGGAAGTGTAAAACCTGCTAATCTGTCATTCAGCACTTGATGAAATATAGTGGGTGACTCACAGTAAAATGAAAAGCAAACCAAAATTGGCTGTCTGGATGTACGGGCACGCTAAAAAGAGGGATGGACAATGAATAATAATAATAATTACTCCGGCTTTAAGCAAAGAGTGAAAAACAGGAGTAATGTCTTTTTCTGCATCAGGTTTTTAGGGGTACTGAGGGATTTTGGGTTGATATGAGGATTTAGGTGTAATTTGAATGGGTTCTTGGCCTTTTATGAGTCCTACATCATATTTAGTCTGTGCCCATAGATGTGTTGGGACTGCTGCCAATTCTGGGTCGTCCTGAGACAAGGTGGACATTGTTAGTCATTTGTTATTGTCAATCACTTCTTTTGTGGGGCTTACAGTCAGCAGATGACAAAAATCTTATCTGTAAATGTTGAGAGAGGGTGAATAGAAAAAGCTGTCATGGGGTTCCCAGTCTGAAGTCTGGTAGGCTATTTTAACAGGACGTAACGCTAGGGAACCCAAAAAACGCCACAGCTGGTTTTGCCAGAGATATGTGGGGAAAAGAGTCAGTCACTGTGAAATAGGGTGTTTGTGGTGTCACCTTGTCATTGAGGGTCAGCAAAACAAAACAATAGTCATGTGTCCAGCAGAAGGACGAAGTGGTGAGTTGTGTGTCGGGTGTCATCAGAAATGAGTCTCCTAAATGATCAGCAGGCTCTGAAGTTACATGAGCAGTGCAGTGGAGGCGTTGTTCAGACGTTTTCAACCAACACTGTGAACATGGGTAACTTCAGATACGCTGACTGGGTGATTTGTAATTGTAGGAATAATCTTGCCTGTGTCTGACAGAAAAACAGGTGTGTGTGTGCTGATACTTGCAGTTTGGAGTCTTGGGTCCTGGTCTCCCGGCACTAGTCAGGTGGAGTAACCTCCTCTCCAGCCTCTGCCCCCTGGATGTCCAAAACCATGTCCACCGCATCGGTGTGGGCTTGGGTAAAAGTTCTGTCCATTTTGTGGCTGCTGTTGACCTGGGCCGTGCTGCTGAGGCCTCGGGCCCTGTGGTATGGGCTGGTATGGCGGGCGACCTCTGCCACGCCACTGATTCCTTTTGTGTGGGCAATCTCTGATCCAATGGTCAAGTCCTCCACACGGATAGCAAGAACGAGGTCCAGCTGGGTTGTTCTGGTGTTGATAAGGCTGGACCGGTTGCTGTTGAGGTCTTTGTGGGTGAGGTGGCTGGGCAATGTCTGTGTTTAATGTCATCTGTGTGGCTCCTTGTAGCAGTGTGAGCTGAGCCTCTTCAGTTTGTCTCTGTTTTTTCTTCTGGGTGCAGGTTTGGTCAGCTGTGTGCTAATCCCAGGCGTGCCTGAGAAGCTCATTCAGCCGGACACCAGTTTTCCACCCAATGTAGGTGGATTGAACAGCTTTGCGGATAGGTGGGAGATGTCCAGTCATCAGAGATTGGCAGAAAATAATCTCAAAAGACGTTGCTTGAGGGGCTTCATCTGGTCTCTGAACAGTGTCTGTGATGGTAGTGAAGCTTGGGGTCTGAGGATATGCTGCAGTGATGTGTTCTGTGATCCTTTCCACGTGTGTGAAAAACTGTTGGTTGTCCTTGTGATCTGCCTGGACGTTGACAATTTGATGTCCATCAAGTACATCAAATAGTTGGGCTCCGATGGTGCTGATGAACGCAATCCCATATACAGAAGCCAGTATCATTTTGATCTAAAAAAGTTAAATCTGGTCCTCTGGACATTCAAAAAAAAAACAAAACAAAGCAAATCAACAAAAAAATGTAGAAACGTTTCGTCTCTCGTCCGAGAGACTTCTTCAGTCTGAGGTGCTGTATTCAGCTCAGTCTCTTAAATAGCACCTTCTCAGAGTGGATCAACCAGTTTTGCTGCTGACAACCAAAACCAGCTGATCACATGCTCAAGAAGGACCATCAGCCTAACAATGGATCATTAGCACACTGATGGCTGTGTACTATTCACAGAGGGCTGAGTGATACTAGCAATCACAGCATTGTAAGAGGGGGACAATTGAACACGTAGGCCTCCAC